TGAAAATGTTAGGTCTCGCTTTAACCACCGATGGCGCTCGGATTTCTTGTGGCACCTATAAGTAATGCAAGGCCATTCTCATTCAAATGCACACTCACATCGGGAGGAAACACGCTTCTTCTTTCCCAATGCAGACACACCTTCACTCCCACATGCATAAAAAAACACACACTTCCATTTTTCTCTTTTACATCGGGATGTAGATTGACCAGTTGACAGTCAGAAAGATGGATAGATATAATGCAGGACATGCGTGGTGAAGGGCCAGGCGTTTCCACAAAATCTTTAATTATTTGCACCTGAATGCACAACATGTTGAACACATGCTGGCTTTTTTCAAGAATGCATTAAAAAGAAGAATCACTAGAGTTTGACTATTTCCTTTGACCTTTGGTCAAGGAGAAGAAAGTGATCGAAGTTTCAGCAACATTAGGCTGTTCTCGTGTTCTTCAGTAATACTTGTAACCACGTAGGGGTGCAGTTCAGCTGATTTAACCCGTTATAGGACACTTGAGAATAATTTAGCTAATTTTAGAACATTATATAACTGTAGAATATTACATACATACTTACATAAATTACACAACCATTAAGCGATACAGTATATTTTTATAAAAAACAGATTACTGTTTTTGAAAGTTATTGAAAAATAGATACAATTTCTGATCAAATGTAGATTATTATAATATTTTGGAATATTATATATATATGAGGATCTGCACCAATGTCATCTTCATCCTCTTCATCATCACTGATTGTGGGAAAATAACTGTCCTGTTTTCCATAGAAATCCTAGTTTAAAACTGCCAAACATATTCAATATTATAATTGTTATTATTACCATCACCATGATTATGAAAACTATGTCTAAAAAACAACAGATTCGACTAAAAATATATACATAGTTTATTTTACTTGTTTAGGGCGTATGATCAAATATGGCTGCTTTATTTTTCATGCAGTGATTTCACCAAATTCACTGAGTTTAACATTTACAACAGAAAAAATCCTTATTTAGCACAACTAGTATACCTTGTGATGTGAGAGTTTCAAAATCATTGTTACTTTTAGAGATCTGACCATAAACACGAGAGGAGAGCAGCTTTCTGGATCTGTAGACAAATCAATATTTGGCGCGCCATAGCCCGGCACGATTGGTGGAATGGTGACATGACGCAAACCGTGACTAGCTCAATCTCTGTTGATTGGTTGGGTGAAATCCTGTAATTCTAAGAATCCGTGGTAAATCATCGACATCATTTATGATGTGAATGGAAGTGTCCAAATATGGATGCTGGCCTTATGAAGGGTTAAAAAAGATTTGGTCTTTGTGTGAAGACTAAAATCAGGTGACCTGAGATTTTAGGCATCTGTGTGTATGAGGAGTGTGTGTTTGTTTTATCCTAGCTTCAGTATGGCTTCCATATCTGTGTGTAAACCTGTCTTTGAGCCTGAACACGGTCAGCCTCCTCCTGAGCCCACAGAGCCTCCCTATGAGCGGATGTGTTCATGCTCTCCCTCAGTGCCTTCTCCAGCTCCATAATCCGTTCTGCTGTCTCCCGCATGGCATCCTGGGAAGCAGTAGGAAGCTGGGGGTGTGTGTGTGTGTGTGTGTGTGTGGGGGGGGGGGGGTAAACAAAAGAGGGTGATAAAAAGCAGCAAAAGCCAAGGAGAAAGGTGGTGTTTTTTTTAGTTTAGTGTATTTCTTCAAGAATCGTTTTGCATTGCTTTTGTACATTTTTATTTTAGTTAAAAATCCTTTCAAGGAAAAGACAAGAGACTTATTCTAAGAAGAAACAAACTCAGTGCAGAGTTATTCATCACAGAGGCAGTTTGCCAGTGTCGTGACCTCCTCACTGACACACTAGCAAGTGTTCCGATTTGTGAGTGTGCAGAGCAGAATGAGCACGTTCACAAGCAGAGTTTGTGTGTGGCCTCTCTGACACTTACGGTGAGAGAGAGAGAAAGTGATCCTTCCCACTGGTTGATACCCCCCCCCCCCCCCTCTTTTTTTAACTTTCTCTTTGATTCGGAAAGTGTTGACTTGCTTTCAAATTCACACATTCATTCTTTTTTTTTGGGTGCGGCGCAAAAGCCAAGGAAAGACGAGGAAATTAAAAATAAAAACTGAAAGATGTGCAGGGGTGACATCAGATGTTTGAACCTAAATTAATTAATCATCAGAAATTGTGACTTAATTAAGCATAAAAGAAAACATCTAAACTTCTTTCTAGCAGCTCTCTGAACAGACAAGAATTTCATCCTGCAGACAGCAGAGCAGCACTTTAAACAGTACCTTAGGTCAAACATGAGGAATCAATTGTGATGGATTCCCCAGATGTTGTTTAAGTCATTTCATGAGACAGGGCCAAAAACACACAAGATGCCTATAAAAGGCCTATCGCTTGCTTCTAACAATACAAAAAAATAAAAAGTATAGTGTTAGTGTTTCAACCAGTACTACAAATCACCATTTACTGAGTAATTAGGTGGAGAAAAAAGAAAAACAAATGAAATACTTGAGAGGAAAATGTCTCAAAACCATCCAAATGTGGTTTGTCATGTCAGCACAGCACAGCTGGAGGTAAGCGACAGACAGCCGCACACACACGTGCAGAAGCGTGCTGTGCGTGTCAGCCGTCTGAAGCTGTGATTGGATGT